ACTGCCTCCAACCATCTAATACCAACAACTCACAGTGCGCCGTGACGGTGAGCCACCTAGTGGCATGGTGGCCACATTGCAAACTCGACTGATAGAATTCAGTCTGCACCAAACATAGGACCAGCTACACACACACACATTACACTGGTTACTGATTAGCGTCCAGTCAACAACAAAGAAATGTATGTCACAATTTTGTGATAATTGGTTTTATTAAACATCAGAAAACGTTTGCACACAGATGATGAGAATCAACGAAGCAAAGTAAATCGGCATTATTCTGAGCCAATTTTTGTTCTATCCCTAACCATATATTGTTAAGCAATCTTATCACCACCACACTAGGTGAGTATCTAATTGAGGAAGTAAATACTTCTTCATAAATTAAACTCACAATGTGGAAATTACTTAGAAATGATTCTGCTCTCTGAACTGAGTCGAACCGGCTGCTGCACCGTTGATAAGCTTGACCCCAAACAAACGAAATGGCCATTCGTTGTTTAAATCTCCTTGATCAGGCTGGCTAGCAAGCACTAGCGTAACTAGTATAGAACTACTTATCACTACAGATCGCCACATTACGGATCATCATCTAACAGACCTTGGAATGGCAGTCACCTCTCTATCTCAACTTCATCGACTTTGAAAAGACCTTCGACAGCGTCGATCGAGAGGTGATTTGAAAACTACTTCGCTAATACCAAGGGGTGCCACCGACAATTATACATCTCATCCAACAGCTGTACGACAATGCTGCATGTCAAGTAATCCACAACAGGAAACTTACGTAATCCTTCGAAGTTAGGACAGGAGTAAGACAAGCTGGCTGCCTACTATCGCCAATGATTTTCCTGATTGCAGTAGACTGGATAATGTGACAAACAGTGGGCAATGAGGAAAAAGGCATAAAATGGACTCACACAAAGAACTTGGAGGATCTGGACTTCGCCGATGATATATGTCTGATTTCCCACAAACTGGAAGATATGCAAGTGGAAAGCAACATGTTAGCAGAAGAACCATCAAAGATAGGACTTCAGGTGAACATAGAGAAGACAGATGTGATGAAGATTCCAGGACAAGAAAAACAACAGCAGACAAAGATCAGCATAAATGGGAGGAACCTGAAAGAAACAACCTCCTTCACCTACCTACCTGCGAAGCATCGTTTCAACTACAGGCGGAACTGACGATGATATCAAAGCAAGGATCGGAAAAGCAAGACAAGCTTTCATTTCTCTCAAGTCTGTGCGGAGGTCAACAACACTCGGCATCAAAAATAAGATCCGGATTTTCAACTCAAATGTGAAGTCAATGCTACTATATGGATCAGAGACTTGGCCAGCGCGTCATAAAAAGCATCTCGAACAAACTACAAACCTTCATTAACAGTTTTCTTCGCTCAATACCACTCAAGATCAGATGGCCACAAAAGATCAGTGACAGGGATCTTTGGGAGCGAACCAACCAGGAACCGATTGTGAAACAAACAGGCAGGAAGAAATGGAGGTAGATTGGCTGGCCATACTCTGAGGAAACCATCAAGTGACGTCACACGTCAGGCCATCGCTCGAGTGGAACCCGAAAGGGAAGCGACGAGTAGGTCGTCAGTGCAAGGGTGACTTGGAGGAGGTTATGTGAAGAGGAGATGAAAGCGTGTGGGCAGACTTGGAGCCAGGTGAAGACTCTAGTAGAGAACCGAACGCAATGGAGATGCAAGGCTGAAACCTTATGTTCCTCTAGGAATTAAAGGAAACAATAATAATAATATTCACTACAGATCAGTAGTATATAATCTGTGTAAGTATTTCTTCGCTAGATCCTTTTTGTCTTCTAAACTGGAAATAACAGATCCATGTTGTACACAGTCTATAGGCTCTCACCCCTGTGAACTAGACATAAATATATATACATATATGTGCTATTAAATACTGATACTGATATCACAGAATAATAGTCTTGATCCCCGGACAATGCGCAAAATCTGTAACTGATGCAGTAAGTAGTTTGACACACCACTGCAGACCACGGTGTACCAAAGAGGATACTGACAGATCAGGGTCCTTATTTTGAAAGCGAAGAATTCATATCCCGTTCTCAAGAAATAGTTATAGAGAAGATTAGAACAACGCTATATCATCCAGAAATGAATGGTTCAATAGAGACAGAGAAATAACCATAAACTGAAGGAGTGGCTAACCAGGAATGAAGGTAACTGGGAGACAGAGCTTTTATTGATTCTTCGAGCACACCGTGTTTCCGCGTGGGAAACAACAAAGATGTTGTCCTTTCACTTGATGTATGGTACAGAACCACGATTAAAATTACACAACAAGACCTGATCCCTTCACCAAAAGTGAAGCATGACGTGATTGTGAACGGAATGGAAAGAAGTCATCAGGAGTGTAGGGCATAAACAGAAGATAGATGCCGAGAAATCTGAACAGCTAGAATAGTTTGACAGCTGAGAAAATATTGCGCTCAATGCAACATTTAATCCTACTTGAAAAAATATGCTGGAGATATGTGGATGACTGACACTTTCACACACAGTGTTAAAAACAGAACATATCACATCTAGCTTCTTGACACATATAAACTCACTAGTAGAGGGAATAAAATTCACATTTGAATCGGAAAATGAACAAGGAGAATTAGCTATGCTCTTAGATTGTAAAATAAAACGAATAGAAGAAGGTAAACTGCACTGCACACTAGCGATTATAAAAAGCAAATGCATTCTGCTAATAGATATTAAGACTTTAATTCATCTCATCCGTTGTCTGTCTGTGAAGGCAGGCTTAGTTAAGTGTCTAACATACCGAGCAATAGCACTAGGTACTACAAGAAAAGACTTAAATGATGAAATAAAACAGATAGAAGAAGCGTTGGTGTTAAATTACTATGCGATATAATTCATTAGGAAGATCAGAAAAGGTCAAAAGCAAAATAAAAATAATGGGGAAACTAATAATGACAACATAAATAAGAGAGAATATATGGCATTTACAGTGGTTTACCATTAAGGAGGGGACATCTGAGACCCTATGTAGGATTCTTAATAAAGCAGGAATTAGAATGGTGGCATTCAAACACACAAACTCACTCAGAAACAAGTTTGTAGGTCAAAGTACCCTGTCAGTTGACCCATTAGACAAAATAATATAATTTACAAAATACCTTACAATGACTGTAATTTAAGCCAACTACAAAGGTCAAACTAGTAGATCGGACGGGGTTGCCATATTATCAGAACATAAGAATTTAGTGCTAAAGTAAGAATGGTTGATCGCTCTCGCGAAGATAAGCAATCAAGAGAAAAGCTCAGAAACTACACTGCATTCATTAACACAACCACACAACAGGTTGGCGGAAGAGGTTAAAATTCTAAACAGTAATTCAGTTGGGTGGAGGGAGTGAGAGAGAGGGAGAGATTGATTGCTGAATCCTGCCTGGTTCATCGAGTCTATACATCCAACACATGCAACAGAAGTGACTCAACGCAAATACTAGAGATATGTATGGAAGATATTATTACCACCAGTCAGTCAAATCAGAGGAGGATAATAAATAATCTTAAAATTATATTTCAATTCACATACATCATAACATTCTAACAAGTTACTTATTTTGACTATAAAAACACTCGTCTTATTTCCCATCTGATTGTACCTGATCAATAACACTCCTATTACTATTATTTCTGAATGTACATTATCTTATACTGATTTTATTCAAATGTCTAATCATCAATTCCACTCATGTGTACAAATGAAGCAAGAAAGTTGTGTAAGTGAGTGACTTGATATGATAATGAGTGGCAATAATTTGTGCTCGAAAGGTGGTCATCAGTTAATATTACTGTACAGCGAACACTGTATGATTTATCAAAATGAAAACTTATCTATAATGGATTTGTACTCTACCACCACAGTGCCCAAGTTTTCTACTTATATCAATGAAGTGCACGACCTTTCAATTCAGCAACCAAGCAGTATTTTGAAAAAGAAAGTACACAGTTACATGTGGGTGAAGTTCATGGAAACCCCTTCTGTAATGGGAAGGGACATACACTCTCACTGAGAGACGTCCTTCAGTTTATACCATCAAAAGAGGAGGTAAGCGAAAACGGGTTAACGTCAGCCAACTGCAGAAATGGACACAATGGGATAAGTAGACCTGGACTAAGGCAGAACCAAGACGGTGTGAGAGTTTCTCTCTGAAACTAATTGATGGGGGCACGAGTGTGTCGTGTACTACTGATAAGATTTATCAGTAGTGTAAAAGCACCAAATACCAGGGAGATAGATTTGATGTCAGAGAAAACAAATAATACAGTTAACTGCTGAATAGTGATTAGCAGTGGAATCCAGGATGCGCATTTCGTCTCATTTTGGACTCGTCATCTGGAAGTGCCTGAAACCGAGCACTTCGGTCCAATCAATCGACGGGAAAATCTAAAATTGAATTAAATAAATGATACAGTGCTGCGGCGAAACATGAGAGACTTGAAAGGAACACAAAGAAAGACAATACAAAGGGCAGAATTAGCATAACGCGGAAGATCTGTGAAAATGATGATTTCTAAATAAGGTATACATAATTTTCCTATGTATGCGTATGTCAAATTACTAAAAAACATTCCTTTACAAAGTCTCTTATCTTCTTCCGTTAAAGTAGTAGTGATTTCGCCTATTGATTAGGCGAAAATATACTGAAAATGGAGATTTTTTGAATTAGGGTAGAAAAATTGTTTCTTTGAAAAAAATATTTTTGAAGATTATACTACCGTCAGATTCTTTTGTAAGAACAGAAAAATCAGAAAACTTATACCAATTGGCAAAAAAAACTATGGAATATAAATTGACCAATCATTTTGCTAGATGAAATAACCAATAAGAATTGAAAGTACATTACCCTGGTAGCCAATCATATTTCAGTTTTACTTAAGGACAAATAAAGCTGATTGGTTAGTTATTTGACAGGAAGTGTTTAATTAAAACTGGATTCAGCTGAGATCTGACACAGACATTCCCTTCGCCTAATAATCTCGAACTGATCTGATCTAATTTATATTACCTATGGATAGAAGACCATCAGGATTTTCTAAAATACCTACAATTGGTTCACGATCTGTTCTTATCGCTATTGATGGATCGGAACATTCAAAAAACGCTTTTCAACATTATCTGAAATGGCTTCATAGACCAGATGATACTGTGACAATATTTCATGCTGTAGAACCAATCTCCCTACCGAGTATTTCATTATCAAATCCAATTAGTGTACCAAGTGATGAATGGTCAAGTATTGTACAAGATAATGTTAAGCGTGTTCGACAACTTGAAGATGATTATAGTGCGGAGTGTATAGGTCGTAATCTAACATATCAATTCCTTTATGAACCTGTTGAACATATTGGTTCAGCTATTGTACAAAAAGCTGAAAAATATCATGTGAATTTACTGGTGGTTGGCAGTCGTGGACTTGGTGCTATCAAACGGACAATTATGGGCAGTGTAAGTGATTATGTTGTACATCATGCGAATACAGCGGTTTGTGTTGTACCCTACATTGATGAACAGAAAAGCAATTCGAAAAGTTGAATTTCCCACGTCTTTTTCAATGATTCAATATATACATACACATATATATTTCAATGAAACATTGAACCATTGAACCACCGCCATATTTCAATTGGGAAGAAATCGTGATCAACCATTATTATAAAGGTTTGTTTAATAGACAACATTTCTTCAATTGACACTAGTGATATACAAATATATTTTATCGACTTATTTTTGGTAGTTATCTGATTTCATCTTGTGTTTTTCACCCGTTAAGCTTGTTTGTTTAAGTGTGTGTTGATGTGGCTATGTGTTGGTCACCAATTTCGCGCATTTTTTAAAATCTCATCACATTTCAAGTTTTTTTCATTCTTTTGTAAATTCATATTTTTCTTCAAGAAAATGGGCTAGTGATTGTTAGTGTGAACTCATTACTGTTGATGTTTCGTCTTGTATATGACTCATCAGCTGAAAATTAATTTAGACTTTAGCCTACATTGAAATATTTTGAGAATAAATAGAGATTTTGCTTTGATTTCGTCATCTGTTACTGTGTAAAATAATAAACGAATATACATTAGTTAAAAATGTCTCACCTTTTTTGCTTATAGTTCACCAGTGGTACTGTCTGTTTCACGATTTCAGAAATCGTTAATTTATTTTTATAATTAAAAACAGATTTTTTTGTTCAGCGAAGAAATTTCTTTTCAACGACTTCATTTTCAAGCTGTACAGTCTTATTTATATTACAGAAAAGGTCATTAAGTGGCACTAAATAATTGCTCAGTCATTATACATATATAAATGATAAGAATAACGATAATTAAAATGTTATAAAGGGTAGAGTTGGAGTGGATAAATTACAAAATTATTAAAGATTGTTTTATAAGTGAATTGAAATCAAAAATGTTTTAAAAATGTCAGGTGTTGTCTAAAAATTTTAAAAAATTAGGAGTACGATTACGATAAGAATGAAGATGTGAAGTGAAGTGGAAAGAATTCAAGTGGTAAAATAAAATAAAATAAAAACTAGAAAGAACATTACTATGACCAAGGTAAAGAAAGGGGTTTAACAAAACGTTTTTGAACACATAATTTAGGTTTCTGTTCATGTATAGCTAAAGCTTCGGCTATGCATAAGTGAAGAAGACGTGAGCTTTTGGATCGATTCGATTTTGCCATGTAGATAACCGTGAAAGAATGAATCACGTGGAGCTAAATGACCTGACTCTAACAGGTGATCACAAATAGACGACTTCGCAGTTCCACGTTCGTCTTTCATTAATCAGACTGGATAGTGTTCAGCTACACGTTTTCGGAGATTACGCTTACAACGTCCAATATAAACAGCTCCACAGGAGCAGATAAAAGAGTAAATACACATAGATGTGGACAAAAGCGGTAATCTATCCTTGACGCATTGTTTAATCATATTTTGGCTGGTAAAAACTAGCTGTAAGTCAGCTGCAGGAAAAGTACGTTTAATACATTTAGATAAACGATTTTTAATCAATTCTGAAATGGTGTCACCTTTGAATGCCAGACTCATAAACAGTTTTTCTTTGGTACTGTAATTTGTCTATGGGCGGGTTCTTTCTTGATGTTACGTTCAATATTTTTAAGTGTTTTGCAGTCCGAGTGAAAGACAGGGCTTCAAAGGCTGATTTCTGAAGTTCAAACAGTGTAGGTGTTCGAAAAATGTATTACGTAATTTAAGGTGTAGTCTAGAAGGGGATGACTAATTGGAAGTCAGAAAAGAAACGGGGCAGAAGGTGGCATGACGTAATAAGTGTGAGATAATGGCCAATCGATAAGACTGTGTAGAATGGACAGGAACTAGTGGAAAGGCGATGAAGTGTTTTTAAATAAAATCTGTATGAAAACTCAATATTATTAATAAACAGCTTGGTTAACCAGAGGAGAAAAGAAGAAGAATAGCAGCTCCATCCTCGAACACCTTGTCATCTCTGGACATCCAGCACCCCCATCTGCAGGAATGCTTCACAGTGCTACACAGAGTCCCTCAATATCGTACAAAGGGACTTCGTATACACCGTCTGTACATAGCTGAATCATTAGCTATTCGGGATCTGAAACTGGACCTCTGCATTCAAAAGCAATATATACATTCACTCGCCCTACCGGGGACAGAGTAACGTTCTTACTATAATTTGGCTTCTTTTATATTATGTAAGTTTACTATTATTATTAATTATTCTTGTATCATCATTATTATTCCCATCATCCATATTTTATTAACACTCTGTTACTGTTTATTAATAACATTGCTTTTCATACATATTTTATATAAAAACACTTTATCGCTTTTCCACTAGTTCCTGTCCATTCTACACGAGCTTGTTGATTAGTCATTATCTCACACTTATTACGTCATGCCAACTTCTGCCTCTTTTCTAACTTCCAATTAGTCATCCCTTCTAGGTTACACCTTACATTACGTAATACGCTTTTCGAGGACAAATTTTACCGGCAAAGTTCTACAATAGAGTCCCAAGGGATGCGAACGCACGAGTGACCTTGAACCGACCAATCAGGAAAAATGACGATTTTTGCATAAAATTTTACGTATATTTACATAAAAAAGCATAAAAAAGCATTAAACAGGATATTTTTCTCTAATATGAGATAATAAAACTCTCAATTTTGTAGAGGGGTTTCAGTTTTTAAATTGAACCAATTTCTATACATATATTCATCTAGGTGACTGAAAACAACTTCGTTTTGAGATCCGTTGATCGCTCTGATTCTATTTTTCAGTCTTCCCCAGAAGCCTTCGATTGAATTGGTAGGAGTACCGGTCCTGGGGTCGACGAAGTCATCGGAATGGTTGACTCGATGATGTATATAACCTAGCTGCGATAATTGGTTATATCCTGCCCATTCATCTGTGTGAATGGTGATGCCTGGTAGGACGAGACGCTGAATAATAGGGAGGAGTGTATCAGCACTCCTATCTGGAATTAGCTCGATAGACCCTTTGCGAATCTGAGTGTCATAAATTCCTAAAACCCAAACGTTATTCACTCTGGCACGCCCTCGATTGTACTTCTTCTTGATAAGAATGGTTTCATCGATATGGACGACTACACCGACTCCTCCCAACACCTGAGTAATACTATTCATCTTCCATGAGGCTAAATCTCGACAAAATTGAAACCACTGCACAATAGACGTCAACGTATTAGCTGTTTGCGCTGCAGTAGATCGCACCCCGGACTTTAAAACCCAGTAATTAGACAGAAACAAGATATTCGTCAAAGACAGTTTCGACTTTTCAAAGAAAGTTCCTAGAAGACAACTAATTCAGAGTGCCACTTACCAGTACGCACACTTATTCGCTTCCTACACTGTGTACATCTGAATACATATCCATCAGTGACCTGGGTATACGACTGGAGGTTCATGGAAGCACCACAATCGCATATCCGAGTACGTCCTATCAATCCATTATCTAGGTAGTACTGGAAAATATGATCTGGTTGGAAGTTGCACCTGAGCTCATGAACAGGGTTCATTTTAGCGCTAGAATAAAGGTAAGCTTCCTCAACCAATGACTAGCATGCGTTCAGGGTCATTGTAACATTCACAAGGTCATTGGAACATTTACAGTCCTGGGACTCTATTCTTGTACTTCGCCATTTAACCATTATCTGATTGGTCGTCTTATGACTTCTTTGTTAAATATATGAATATGATTGTACAGCAGGTTATGGATATGAATCTTTGAAAACAAAATTTTCTTCACTGTTTACGTCTCCATTTTCTCATATGACTGAATATGGGAATATTCCGTTCAGCGCAGATGTTATTAATTCTACACAATGAGATTGCTAACTTCACACACTCAACCTTCTCTGTTTGTTGGACCAAATACTGACTGCGCCTGCTTAAAATTCGGGCTAAAAAAAAACAAAAACTGCCGTCATTTTATTAGCTTCTTATTTCTTGAGTTCATATTGATTTAAACTAGTAAAAAAATAGGATGTCATCTAGTGGTATTGTTTACTCTTTCTCTCTCGAGTATTTAAAAGTGTTTACAGGCTTTTCGAACAAAATTTATTGTTCATAGTCATATCAACTGTAATCACACGACTTCGAAACTCGAGTTTTATAGTTTTCTTTGTTTTCTCCTATTTGTTTCGTGTTTGTAGGGGTAGTAGAATTTTCCAAATAAACGACTAGACAGGTGTTGAATCATTCCTATTACACGTACTCTGTCTCAGTTGATTCGATAAACAAAGCTTCTGTTATCAATCTCTCCTTCCATTCACCCTGTGACATTAGATTTTAAAACTGTCATCCTATCCCATCCTATTGTATGGTTGTGTGTGACTACATGTAGTGCTATAGCTGAACTATTCTCTAGATTTCTTGTTTTATTCGGGTCAACCAATCTAGATTTTGCTAAGTTATTATGTTCAGCTAGTCTCACTGACTGCACCTGTTCTACTAGTTTGACCTATGTATTTCACCTGACAATCATTTCAGGCATGGTATTAAATAAACTAAATTGTTTTGTTTTAAAGGCTCTACAGGATTGTTCCTTTAACCGACAAAGCTTGTTTCTAATTGAGTTTGTGGGTTTGAATGCCGTTTTTATTTCTGCCTTCTTAAGAATTCTGCCCAAGGCTTCCGAGGTTCCTTTCTTGTATGGAATTACTAATGATGATTTAGATTCTTTATTGTTGGTGTCGTCATCAATATTATCACTATCGCTATTATCATTATTTATTTTATTTTTACATTTCCTTACATATTTCTTGACTAATTTATCAGGGTAATTATTAAGTTTCAAGGCTTCTTTTATGTGTATCAGTTCCTGTTTTAGATTTTCCTTGGTACTACTTAGTTTTTGTGCTCTGACAGAGCACAAAATGATAGAGAGAAAACGACTTCAGGCTGTGTTTATTTTTGAACCAGATGGGGTCGTTTATGACCAAATTTTCAGAAATGTCCAATCAATCGACGATTTTAGCTTATTCGACCAAATTATGTAGTCATGTAAAGGCTTGAAAATAACAGTACAATAAATACAGATAGTTTATTATTTGGAGGGTTTCATCATGAGATGATATCAGTTAGAGAACCATTGGAAAACCATCAGAGGAGTACTACTAGACAGCTGTTTCGTCAACCTAGTGTAGGACTGTTCAACAGTACGCACCCAAAGCCACGGTTCGAACACAGGGCCCCTTCTATTCATAAAGCGAGCTAGCTCGTAGACCATTAATCCTCTGGGACCCCATCGATTGGCAAGCCCATGTATTCCAACTTCTGCCAATTCATAACATGGTGCGACCGTTTAGCAGTGTCTTCTTCAATGAGTTACTGCTTCACCGAGTTTTATTTAGTAGATTTGAAGTCTTAATAGTGAGTTAAACTCACCCCACCCTCTTGAACTCTCCATCATAATACATATATATATAAATTCACTCGGTTGATCTATCTTGTATTTTGTCTCTAATCCATCCCTGTTTCCAAAAGGTTGTCTGAATTCCACCCGTTCGTTGTCTAATTACTGTGTAAATAGTTACCCCCTTTAAACACTAAATTAG